GGAGATAGATTTTTCTCAAAATCTAGAATTGTTTACAGGCTCAGAGAAAAAGACAACTTATAGGAAGAAGGCTTAGTTCTTCACTTGCGTTTACTTCATTGCTCATACCTCTGGAAATTATTACACCTACTACTCTGGTTCTCAAAACTTTCTTTAGATTTTTTTTTTTTCTGAGTTACTTCCTCAGAGCAATACATTTATGAAATATTGGAAACAAGGTTGAGAGAAACATAACCTGGAATATGTAATCCCAGTTTCTCCACGGAGAGGTTCATGTATAATTCTGCCATATTCATAATTAAGTGTCCCGGTGGTGCGCGTGTGTGGTGGGGCCAGATGCAGACAGAGCTCAGCATCGCTCAGACCCTGCATCGCTCAGACCCTGTTTCTGGTGAGGGAGATGGAGGCTTGGGCCGTAGTCCGTGCCACCTTGTTTGAAGCCCGTGCTGCTCTGGGGTCGGAGCTTTCTGTCCAATGAGGAGGCAGGCTCAGCCCGCGGTGTGCCCTCCGTCAGCAGGTCACATGGCCTGTCTGCTTACGGGCTTTCTTTGGTCCAGCTGAGGTGGGGGAGACCCTGCCTCCGCTCTCCACACTCCTAGGGCATCTGTCACTCCATGTTCCAGAGCCGGACATAAAATGCCTTTCCTGCACTCCAGAGGTGCAGACTGAGAGTTCATTTTGCTTTGTTCTGTTTTGAAGACATTTCCATTCTGACTTGGTTTCCCTTGTGGTTCAAACGGTAAAGAATCTGCCTGCAGTGCATGCAGCCCAGGTTTGATCCCTGGGTTAGGAAGATCTGCTGGAGGAGGAAATGGCAACCCACTCGTGTATTCCTGCCTGGAAAACCCCATGGACAGAGGAACCTGGCGGGCTACAGTCCATGGGGTCACAAAGAGTCAGACATGACTGAGCGACTAGTGCAGTCATCACCATTCTGACTGCACATTTGCCAGAAAAAGAAAGCTCTATTGTACTAACAACTCAACAGGAGAGGTGCAGTCGTAATTAATCCAGTATTACATAGGATCTCAAGGAGAACAACCGCCCCCTCCAACAAAATGTCGTGCAGCCACACAACAGATGACCCCTCGGCCGTGGAAGGAACAAAGCACTGCCACGGACACATGGATGCACCCTGAGCACATGATACTCAGTGAGAGAAGCCCGTCACAGACATCACATGCACGATTCTTTTTATGTGAAGCATCCAGAGTAATCAAACCCACACACGCAGCAGGCAGACTGGCAGCTGCCAGCGGCTGGGGGAGAGGGCAGTGCTTGCTGTGTAACAAGTGATGGAAATATTCTGGAAATGGATGGGGGGAAGACTGCACACCTCTGTGAGTATGCTACAAGCCTGGGAATTGTGCACTTTAAAAGTCAGGTGGGGCCTTCCCTGGTGGTCCAGTGGTTAGGAATCCGCCTTGCGATGCAGCGGGTGTGGGTTCGATCTCTGGGGAGCTGAGATTCCACGAGCTGTGGAGCAACTAAGCCCATGTGCCACAACTACTGAGCCTGCGCTCCAGAGCCTGTGCGCCACAACTCAAGAGCCTGTGCACCGAGACGGAAGAGCCCACACGACACTGCCAAGATCCTTCGTGCTTCAACTAAGACCTCATGCAGCCAAATAAATCAATTAATAGTTTAAAACTAGTTTTAAAAATAAAAAAGTAAAAGTCAGGTGAACATTATGATGTTGGCACGTGTGCGCTGGGTCATGTCCAACTCTCTGCAACCCCATGGGCTCCTCTGTCCATGGGATTTTCTGGGCAAAAATACTGGGGCAGGTTTCCATTTCCTCCTCCAGGGGATCTTCCTAACCCAGGGACCTTCCCAACCCGGGAATCGAACCTGTGTCTCTAGATTATATCCCAATAATGTTATTATTTTTTTTTTAATGAATGAAGTTACTAACTAAAATGAGAGAACAACAGAACTGGGATCTTCTTGAAACAGCACGCACCCCTCAGCTTTGAGGGCTGACGGTGGGGTCCACAGTCTGACAAGCTTCCCCAATTTTCTGGGTGACGCGTGGGTGTCACTCCAGCTGAGCAAGGAGATGGTATAACTTGGAGTCAGACATACCTAGTTCAAATCCCACCTGTTTCTCTTCCTGGCTGGAGCATCTTTTCTTTTTTTCTTTGCTTTTTAACACACTGTCTGGGTTTGTCATCACTTTCCTGCCAAGAAGCAATCATCTTCCAATTTCATGGCTGCAGTCACCATCCAACAGTGATTTTAGAGCCCAAGAAGAGGAAACCTGTCACTGCTTCCACCTTTTCCCCTCCTATTTGCCATGATGTGATGGGACCAGATGCCATGAGCTTAGGTTTTTTTAATATTTAATTTTAGGTCAGTCTCTTCCTTCACCCTCATCAAGAGGTTCTTTAGTTCTCTTTGCTTTCTGCCATTAGAGTGGTATTATCCACATATCTGAGGTTGTTGCTATTCCTCCCAGCAATTCACTAGAGAGCATTCCCTAAAAAGTGCAAAATCGCCCTTGTGTTGTTCATTCGGATCTAGTCAGTAGCTCCAGGTGGTCAAGACTCCACCTTCCTGACTGAATCCCAGGGGGTGCTGATGCTGCAGGTTCTCAGCTGACTCTGGGTGGTGGAGAAGTAAGCTGTGCCTGCCTCCAAATGCCACAATTTCAACCGACTTCGGGATTGGTACAAGGCAAGGAGATCCCTAAGTAGGGTTAGTCCAATCCTGTAACCCTTGAGACTGTTACTTTTGACAGACATTCACTGAACACTGGCTGTATACCAGGGCAAGAACAGGGAGGGAACTGTGGTCCTTTTGTCTCAGGCTCTGGGCAGGGCAGGGCTGAGGAGGTGGTGATGTTGAGTAGCTGTCACATTGGCAGAGAAGGATACACCAGGAGCTGTAGGAGGAACCGGAGCCCAGCGGCCAGGAACACACCAGAAAAGGGAGGGTTACGCTGGCTACACTGGAACAAGGGACTCCATCCAAGAAGAGAAATTTAAACAAATGCAACCACATGTCATTTGTAAGATACTCACTGCAGATCCTGGCAGAAGGAGCTGAGTCTGAGAAGTTGATCTGAGCTTCAAGGTTTTTCTGGTCTTGGTGGCACATCCAGCCCTGCATGAGGGGCCCATCAGCTTCTCTGTGGAAGGATGAAGATCAGAGAGGCTGGATGTTTGGACCAGAAGCACCTGGAGGAGCTGGGAAGGTGACCAGGTGTGGAGGTGACGCTCACACACAGGACGTGCTTCACAGGGGCTCAGAATTCCTGGTTTTAGCTCTTGGTTGTTACTGGGCCCCGGGGCTGAGGGCTCAGAGGCCCAGCAGCAGAGCCGGCACTGTGTTCGGACCTCTCAAACGTGTCACAGTGTCAAGTGGTGACACGCACGCCTCTCAGTGCATACCCTGCCCTCGACCAGTCATCTGTCGACGTGATTAAACTGCTATTTTCCCATTAATCACAAGGGTGTCTTCTTTCTCTCCTCCCCTGCTCGGTGTGAAATTGTATATTCCTGTGCGTGTGCATGCTCAGTCGCTTCAGTTGTATCCAACTCCTTGTGACCCTGTGGACTGTAGCACCCCAGGCTCCTCTGTCCATGGGATTCTCCAGGCAAGAATACTGGAGTGGGTTGCCATTCCCTTCTCCAGGGGATCTTCCTGACCCAGGGACTGAACCCGAGTCTCTTATGTTTCCTGCATTGGCAGGTGGGTTCTTTACCACTAGTGCCACCTTAGATTCCTGTAGCTACCCCCAAACAAAGCAGTTATAATGTAAGACAATTCTTAAATCTCCTAGAAAACCAGAACAGCAAAAGCCTCAAGATGGAATGCTACTACATAATAGTTATTAACTTGCAAAGAGGAAAAGCTGTCTCCCCAAAATCATAACCTTTGGTGTCTTCTTCTTAACATTTGAAACTCTAGAAAGGAACCTGATCTAGGGAGAAATAGTTTAGAATAATTCTTAATTGTATCCCAGATGCACAGGTGTTTCTGTAAGCCGAGCACATTGAGACAGGGAAATTTTCAGGCCACTTCCTGTGACCCTGCTAAAGGCCAGTGTGAGTGTCAGAATAATTCTAACATGTGTGTAGAACATACTAAAATGTGCATGTAAGATTTCCTCAGCTGGGGAGCTTAGTCCATGTATAGCACTAACATGTAGGTCTTCTTATCACTTACCTTCTAAATCTGTGTGGGGCATTTTTGGTTTTGTTTTTATCCTACAAAAGCATTTTATGGTAAGTTATATGCAAAAGCAACTTAGTTCTTAAGGAAAAATAAAAGATAAAATAGATCAATATTTAAGATATACTAGACAAAACATCTGAAGATATAAAGATAAAAATACATTACTCAAAAATCTTGAATTTATTAGAATATAAAGCTTTTAAATCCCTCTAGTCAAAATTTCGTTCACAAGAGGTTGTAGGTTGGTTGCTTGTTGAAAATCTATTTGAAAAGATCAAAAGCTAAAATAATTCTTTATTCCTTTGTTCCATTAGTACTAAGTCACAAGATCTTTGTAAGTCAGCCCTCTCTTCCTTGGTGCGAGTTTTTCTGCTGGGATGAGGAGCCTGGGAGAGTTGAATGAATGGCCCCACTCGCCCCGTGGTCAAGCCTGGTGTGGATGGGCTTGCCTGTGGGTTTCAGGAGTCAGCTGAAATCCTGGGGTTCTCTGGGGCGGCAATAGTCCTAATTCCTGCACAGCCTCCTTCATTGGGAAGCAGAGTCTGTCCAAAGATGTACAGGGTCTATCTCTACCTCCCTCTGGCCACTGCCCCCACTGAGCCTGTCTAAACCATGAGGGTAAGTGGGTTCAGATCAGTGACCGTTCACCCCAGCGACCAGGACACCCTGGGACAATCAGGGCCTGACTGATGAGCTTTTCAGTTGTGATTTCCTTGTCTCATCTCCGTTTCTTCCTCCTCCAGGAGAAATGGGCCCCGTGAGGCAAGCGTGACCCTCGAGTCCAGCCCGCCAGCCCAACGACCAGCCGGGAGGACAGCGCCATGGCTGGAGTCGTGGAGCAGAAGAGCGGGCTGGTGCACGGCAAGCTGGGCGAGGCTGGCAAGAGGAACGGCCTCATCAACACCAGGAGCCTGGTGGCCGAGAGCCGGGATGGCCTGGTGTCCGTGTACCCTGCTCCCCAGTACCAGAGCTGCCGGGTGGTGGGCAGCGTGGCGCCGGCTGGCCCAGACGGCGCCAGGAACGAGCCGCTCCAACAGCTGCTGGACCCCAGCACGCTCCAGCAGTCGGTGGAGTCCCGCTACCGGCCCAACCTCATCCTCTACTCGGAGAGCGTGCTGCGCCCCTGGGGGGACGGCGTGGCGGCCGACTGCTGTGAGACCACCTTCATCGAGGATCGCTCGCCCACAAAGGAGAGCCTGGAGTACCCCGATGGCAAGTTCATCGACCTCTCGCCCGAAGACATCAAGATCCACACGCTATCCTACGACGTGGAGGAGGAGGAGGAGTTCCAAGAGCTGGAGGTCAGAGCGTGTGTTTGTCACGGGCCGTCGGGAGTGGGACGTGGGGCTCTGGGGGGACGAGAGCCAGGCCGGTGCAAGTCAGGACGTGAAGCCAGTGAGTGAAAGTGCAAGGAAACCGCAGCCTCCTGGGCACCCTTCACTCAGAATCTGTGTGAGAGATACAGGGATGGAGAAGGAGGTGAGGACTGGGACCTAGGGCTTCAGCAGGGATTCTGCTTAGGGGACACAAGGTTGAGGCCATCAGGATGGCACTAAGATGTGTTTAAGGGTTGTTAAGGGTGTTAAGGGCAGCTCAAGGGGCTGGGGGTCTCTGCTGACCGCCTGTCCACAGGGGAGAGTGCTGTGCTGTGCTAAGTGGCTTCAGTTGTGTACGATTCTATGGTTGGTAGCCCACCAGGCTCCTCTGTCCAAGGGATTCTTCTGGAAAGAATACTGGAGTGGGTTGCCATGCCCTCATCCAGGGACTCTTCCTGGCCCAGGGAACAGTGGCCACTGGCCAAAAAAGCCCCCAGGGGAAGGAGGTTCCATACGAGCCTGAAAGTGCACACTTTGGGACAATTTGGGATATTTTGGTTGCCACATGTGGTTTCCTTAATTTGACATTCTGGAGTGTTTATTAAGGATTGTTGGAACAGCTGAAACTTAAAACCGGCTGGAAGAAATAGTTGAAATTGATAGCATAAGGGGCAGACAAGCTGAATTATTATAGAGTCCCGTCTCCCGCAGGGCAGGCACGGGCGTCGGATCACACTCTTAGAAACATGCGTGTTGGCCATGCTGTACTGCACAGCTGCCCCCATGGTGGGGTGAGAGCAACGCCACAGGGGTCTGAGCCCAGGAGACCAGCACCCAGTCTGGGGGGCAGTTGTTTCATGGATGTGGGGATGGCTGGAAGAAGGCTGCTCCACTGGGCTTGCCGGGTTCCCCTACTGGCCTGAGCCTGAGAGTGCGGGCTGGCCACTAGCCCTGGAGACAGGCCCACACACCTGTCATCACACGGTGGCCACGTGAGTCCAGCAAGCCAGAGCTCTCCAAGCCTGTGCATGGAACACACCTTACATCTGACCGTCCCAAGCAAGTCATGTGGCCAAGACCAAAGTCGGTGTGCAAGGGGCTGCTCAGGGTGACAGGACAGGAACATAGCAACCGGGGGCCAGGACGGCAGCAGCCCCCAGAGAACAAGGGTGCAGACCACTCAGCATCACTCTTTAATCGTCAAACTGAATGGAACGAAAACAGTCATGCTCCTATTGTGAATGAAACAAAAAACTCAGCCCACACTGACCTGAGGCTCTTCCCAGGAAGCGGCTCTACTTCAGACAAGAGAGAAAACATGGTTTTGCATCCTTGGGGAATGCCATAGCATCACTGGGTCTACAGCAGAGCAATTCTGTTTCCAGGAAATTGCAGTTTGCAGAGAGCTTTGCCCAGGTAGGAGCAGGGTCTGTCGCAGGAGCTTCCCCTCTGCCCTCATCTCCTGTCTGATCGGGCTCGCCCTGCACTTGCAGCAGAGTGGTCCTAGTGCAGATAGGTCTGCTCCCCAGGCACGCATCTGCAGGAGCTCGTGTGGTTGCGTCCTCTGGGGTCTGGGGTCGGCGGTGTTAGCAAGCAGATCTGCAGCTCATTGAAAGCGTCTCACGGAGGGGACTTGGACACAGCATCTGCCCTGCACTGTCTCATAGCAGAGAGTAGTCCTGGGGGGCTCTGGAGGTGCACAAGGATGGAGGGTGGCCAAACAGGCCACCTCGGGAGCCCTGGGCATTCTCCAGCTGTGTGATCACCAGGCTGGGGCCTCCTCCTGGTTCCCGGACACAACAGCTAAACCTCATCTCCAGGACCCCAACTGCTGGAAATCACATTTCCTTGTCACACAGACAAATTTAAACAGAGAGATGCAGGTACACCTAATAAAGCAGTTCTGCAAAATGTCAAATTCGGGTTTAAAGCTGTGAAAAGAAGTGGCTGCAGGTCAGGACTGGAGGGCCTTGCTGCGTATTGAAAGGCTGATTGCCACCCCTTTGTGACAAAGCCAAGTCTGCACATCCATCAGAGAGCCCATGGAATGTCATCACTGGGAACCAGTGACTCAGGAGGAAAGGGGAAGGAGATGCACGCTTTTGGAGCATCTTCCCTCCCTCCTCTCACAATCCCGTCTGACCCCAGCAGCCACGCCAGGTGGCAGGCTCTGTCCCTGATACTGCACATGGGAGGCAGAAGCTTGGAGGGCTCCCAGGTGCCTCTGCTGGCTCCAGACGCCTGTGTGGTCCCCAAACGGCTGTTTCGGATACAGCCACCTCCTCACGTCTGAGCCCTCAGCTGGACCTCCCTCCCGTGAAAAACCAGAAGTCCCGGAAACCTGTCGGGAGAGATAGGATTCACACTACAGGTAACACCTGCAGAGGCTTCTTCACACACAGAAAAGCTGGGAGGACGCGCAAACCCTGGACAAGAACGCCAAAGCGAGAATAAGACAGAACAACAAAAATAGAAGAGGGGACCCAGAGGAGACAGAAATCACTCAGAAAAGAAGCAGGCAGTGTTTTGAACACAATCTCATGTCCTGTGAGGCTGGGAGAGGCTGATCTGGGGTGGGGCGAGGAAGCAGGATGCGGTTCAGTTGGTTTGCCTGGCTGTCCCGGGATGGACCCTCACACGCAGTGATGACAGAGGTGGTGAGTGGGGGTCCTCCCTTCACTCCTGGTTCAGGGGCAGCGCTCAGACTCTCAAATGAATGACCAAGCTCTTTAGGCTCTTTATCAGATGTAGAAAGTGGCCTTTGTCAAGATGTGGTTGAACAGTTTTTTAATATAAAAAACAGGTGTTTAACTTTGCCAAATGTCCATTTAGATCATCATATAGTGTTGGGGGGTTGTCTTTATCCTATTTATATGACCTATTACATTAATTGATTTTCACATGTTGAACCATCCTTTCATATACTAAGCTATCCTTTATATTTGGGGATAAATTGGCCATGGTGTTTGCGTCTCTTTAAATATTGCTGGATTCAACATGCTAACAACTTGGTAAGGATTTTTATTTCCGTGTCCATGAGGACCCTTGGTCTTTGACAACTGCAGCTTTCTTTTCTTGTGTCTTTCTCTGGTTTTGATGTCAGGGTGACACTGGCCACAAAGGATGAGTTGGGAAGTATTCCTTCTTCTTCTGTCTGAAAGATGCTGCCCTGCGCTGGGACTTTTTCTTCTCAGATAGCCATTCATATTCACAGTGAAGCCACCTCAGCCCAGGTTCTTCTTTGTGGGAAGATTTTTTTTTACTACTGATCAGACCTGATTTCCTTATGATTTGAAAGAAAATCTTTAGGTTTTCCTTTCATCTTGACTCAGCTTTGGTAATTTGTCCCACTCCAGGGATTTTTTTCCCCTTTTATCTTAGTTACCTAACTTGTCAGCATAAGGTTGTCTGTAATAGTCCACTTAAATCTCCTTGCTTTCTGCGCAGTTGGTGATGTTTCCTCTTTTTCCTGCCTAATTTGGTGATTATCCATTTTTTCCTTGCTCAGCCTAGCCAAAGGTTTATAAATTCTGATGATCTTTTCAAATATCTGTCATCTGGTTCCATTGGTTTGTCCTTCATTTCGGTTTTCCATTTCAGTGATTTTCACTCAGATGTTTATGATATTTTCCTCTCTGTTTCCTATAGTCTAATTTGCTCTTCTTTATCTAGTTTCTTTAGGCTGGAGCTTAGTTATCGCTTTGAGATTTTTCTTCCTATATGATATATGTCTTTAAAGCTGTAACTTTCAAACACTATTTCAACTGCCTCCTATAAACTGTGACATGTTGTGTTTTCATTTCCTGTTTAGCTCAAACTGGGATATGAGGAAAGCTTCCCAGGCACCGCGGTCCTCTCCTTTCCAGGAGCTCCTTGTTAAATTCCTGGGTCATCCAGCTATCTGCCATTTGGCCCAAACAGACTACAGCCATAAGGTGGGAGAACTGAAAGCTTAGGAATGGAGCTTCCACCCTGTGCTCCCCAGTCAACTCAGCTCCGTCTAGCAGCAGAGAATCTGGTCTCCAAGAGGAGCCCCTCCCTAGCAGAAATACTTCATGGCCAAGCTGGTGGTGGGTCTGGATGAGCTCAGGGCAAGAACAACCAGACTCACACTATTCTTTTTTTTTTTTAATACTCCATGATTTTGTTTACAATATTCTTTTTCTAATTAATTTATTTATTTTAATTGGAGGCTAATTACTTTACAATATTGTAGTGATTTTGCCATACATTGACATGAATCAGCCGTGGATGGTACATGTGTCCCCCATCCCGAACCCCCCTCCTACCTCCCTTCCCATCCCATCCCTCAGGGTTGTCCCAGTGCCAGCTTTGAGTGCCCTGTTTCATGTATCGAACTTGGACTGGTCATCTATTTCACATATGATAATATACATGTTTCAATGCTATTCTCTCAAATCATCCCACCCTCGCCTTCTCCCACAGAGTCCATGTCCTTTATATCTGTGTCTCTTTTGCTATCTCACATACATATACAGACTCACACTACTCTGACTCAGGATTCAGCAGTGGTTGTAAGCAAACACCCCTCCATTTATCACCCGGGGTCATTGCTGAGCCCTCCAAGAAAGCTGTTTTGAAAATTCTCTTCAGTCATTTCTCAGGGACACGATTTGCCTGCCTCCTGGCTCTGTCATACCAGAAGTCTTACAGGATATTATCTGAAGTGCTACATGTATTTTCCAGCAGGCACTAGATGTGGACAAAGAACATGTCCACAGATGGCTTTTGTTTAGGTTAAGAATCTTAATCAAACTGATTATCTTTAAATAATCTGACATATATCCACTTAAAGCACTAGGAAATTTAATTACTCATTTTCCTCCCTTGAGACAGTATGTTCCGTTCAGTTCAGTCGCTCAGTTGTGTCCGACTCTTTGCGACCCCATGGACCACAGCACGCCAGGCCTCCCTGTCCATCACCAACTCCTAGAGTTTACCCAAACTCATGTCCACTGAGTCGG